GTTTATACCGTGCACCGTCGCAAACTCGAACCATTATTTTTCAATTTTGCATGCTCGCGCTTTGTCATCCGCCATTTTCAATAAATTTATTTTGCAACATTGAAATAAATTGATTCTTAAAGTAGAGATTTTTAGCTTTATTTCCATATTTTATAGAACTTTCTATCTTTATTATTTACGAAGTTATCGTCAGTTGAAATTTGATGAATTTTTCCCACATTTTCAGTGTACCGCTTTTTTTTCGGGTGAGTGTATATAAACTACATATATAATAAAATTAAAATAAAAAAAGGTTATGGCATTATAGAAACTGTCAATATAATAATTATGTCAGACAGTAGCGCAGCTCATACGCGCCTCTTTAGTATTATCCGTGAACTAATTTATACTGTATTTATCGATATTGAGCACACATTTTACTACAAATACCAAAAATCTGTACAATTTTTACATAATACTTCCGATCTCAATTTTAGTGATTCGGTAACATTTTATTATGCAGTGCGCAATTCGCGCTGCTCTTATTCGGTGTATTAAAATCGTTAAACTTTTATAAAAAGTTAAAATTGATAGCTCTAAAAGACATGTTATCCTAAGAGTATGTCAATAAAAATTAATGTTACGACTCAGACTTTATTTTTCCGAATTTTTTCGACCAACGCGAATTCCCTTTTGTGTGCTCTTTAATCCTGCAAAAGGATTTTTAATTCTATGCAGACAGAAAAAGCTGTATTTGTTAGAAAAAAGTCAGGAAAAATACAGCATTCATGTGGTAAAACAGAACTCCAGCATCCTCTTAAGAGGATGCTAAAGTGATCTGTTTTACCAGCCAGATATATTTTTTTTGGACATAAATATCTTTTTATTGGTTGCATAAAATTGTAAATCCTTTTGCAGGATTAAAATGTACACAAAAACAGAATTCGGAATGCTCGACTTCATTCGGAAAAAAAGAATTAATTACAAAATTAATTTCTATTCTGCTCTTAGGATAACATATTGTATAGGGCTATCTTATTTTCGTTTTTATAAAAGTTTAACAGTTTTAAGACGTTGAATAAGTGCAGCCTGAATTGCGGACTGCAGAATGTTATAGAACCATTAAAATTGGGCTAAAAAGTCTAATGTAAAAGATATTTATGTCCGACTATTTTTATATACGTGTGCGTCCGGTATCGGTATAACAGACGAAAAAACAACAATAATAATTAGTTCCCGGATAATATCAGAGAGGCACCATATAGCACACATACACGAATACTCGATTGTATGCGTATGAGCCGCGTTTGCCGTCTAACTTGTTGTAACGTTGACACTTTCCGTATCTGTACAAAAAACCGAAAAATAATAATATGGTTAATAGCACGTAAAATACCCTCATGAAAAAAGACACTTTCCGTATTACTTTTTTATACAGTGTACGTTTCTTTTGCGCATGTAAAAATATTTATATAGTATCTAGT